TCCATTGGCCTGTGCTGTGCTCAGTTAGATCACCGCACATCAGCGCTGCGCGTTCAGCTCGTAGGGACGAAGCCTGATTCTTCGAAGGCCTGCGCGGACTCTGTAGACAGGGTCGCGGCCGCCCCTGCCAGGCCCAGCAGGGCCTCGCGTCGGCCCGCCCCACGGCCTGGATGTGCAACTCTAGCAGCTACAAAGAGGGTGTTCGGAATGGCCTTCGCCAGCGGGCATCACCTTACATGACAAAAGTTCAGATGCAGTACTAGCCGTACAGCATCTTTGCAGCAGCATTTTTGCGTCTTAGCCGCGAAGGAGGCGCACCACGTTCCGGCAACAGCAATGGCAGCCACAATGCCGAGGCTTCGGGTCCGTCGTCCCTCAGCAGCGTGAGTTGCACAGGGTCACTGTAAAACAGCCCGGGCATGCATTCTTGGCTTCTGGCTGCCATGATCCCGAATAAGAAGGGCTGCTGGTGAAGGCAGTGCAGGCTTCTCTGTGCTGCGATGCTCGCTGCCAAAAAACTGCAGATAAAGCAACACCGTCACCGTCAAACATGCCACCACACAACTCGAAGTCTAGCCATAAGCAAGCAAAACCAGCGAGATCATGGCAATGCTACCGTGCCTGGATAGTCCTGGATCTGGCGCCGCTGCGCGTGTCCTGCTGGGTGCGGCCATGCCTCCAACCAAAATCAAGGAAAAAAACAGAAAAGGAACAGGCTCCTACGCAGACGCAGATCCAGCCTGCTCTGGTAATGCCGGCTGCTGAGCTTAGAAGCCAGGCTGCAGGTTCTTCAGCTCGGTCAGCAGCGCTGCTGACATCCTTGGCCCATCTGATATTATCTCGGCTCGCTCCAGCCATGAGCCATGAAGTATGCCGAAGTCCAGCCGGTTGCTGTCAAGAGGCATCCTAGCCCTCTCCATGTCCTTTGAAGGGTAAGACATTCAAGTCAGAAACCCACTGAGACTACGAAGAGGTCTTCTGGACGAGTGCCTCGTGCGCAGGCCACTCGCCACATTCATGGAAGGACTCCTGCAATTTGAAATATATCTGTTTGCTAGCTAGACACATACCTCTCACAGTCTGCTACACCGGCAAGCCTGAAGCGAAGGCTCCAAGATTTCCGCCAAAGAGTCGGCGCCTGCAGTTGCAAGCCTATGGAGACACACAGTACGCCCAGCAGAGGTATACTGCATAATCTTCATTTGCCGCGCGAACTGAGCTGGAAGGCGAGATGCTTGGCTTGCCAGACGCGGAAAGTTCAGCCCAGGTGATCTCGGCCAGAGACTTGCTGAGGCTCTCCACCTCAGCTAGAACTCGGAGCAGGCTACAAATAAGTAAGCTACGACCCAGGCTTGCCCTACCTTGCCCTACTGTAGCTTGCAGCCAGCTGTACATCGAGCCTTCTTGAATCCATGCCACAGGCGTGCTTGCAGCAGGTACATTTACAAAGGCCAATCAGCTGACCTTAAGTCGAAGCCTGGCCGCGCACGTTATCCGGAAACTCAACAAGATAACCGTTCCCAGCAGTCCTGCAATGTCCTGCACAGCCCTTGGTGACGTGGCTGACTAGACCCTGAGATGATGGTAAAGAATCAGCAGGGAACGGCTCTGGCAGCTGACGGCCGCTTGAAGCGTGCTGCCATCCCACCGAATCGGCTCAATCGAGCTGCGAATCTGCTCACACGGCCTCCTGGCTGCAGGGCAGGTTGAAGCAGTTTTTTGTCTTGAGATCTCAGGACGTGACTACTGACCTCAGCATTGCTGGCATCCAGGAGCTCGGACTTCGCTGCCCTGGCCCCGCTGCCACATGGCAGTAGCGCTGTCATTCGTGCGATCTCTGCATCGCGCTCCTACAAGCAAAGAAATGCTGTCAGCATTACAGCAGTGAATATTGCCGCAAAGCAGTGCAATGGGGAAGAACGAGTGTCCTCGAGGGTCTTCCTCAAAAGAGCTATCTGCGCGTCCTGCCCCAGCCAGCATCCAAAAATCAGAGAAACTTGTTATCTCTGGAGGCCTTCGAAGCACATGCTGCGCACTTTGGCGACTGGCTAGGCAGTTGACCCGGTTCTCGCACCGAGCGCTCGAAGAATGCCTGACAAGCCACGCCATGATTGCTCAAAGGCCTCCGGACGTCTCCGCTGCCTGAAACTGCTTCTTGAACCAGTTGACCAAATGATCTTTGACAACCTTGGAATGCCAACCTTTGACACTTTGCAGTCTGCACATGTCTGCACTGCCTGTAGGCATTGGCCTTCCCGCTTGTGTTGTGTTGTGGGACTGCCCTTGCCACGAAACGGAGTTGACCTCATCAAAAGAGGAAGTCCGTGAGATGATGCTTTTGACCTTCTCTTCGTCTACAGGGCGACTTGCGGTAGCACGCGCCACATCTATGCCTTGCACGAGATTGCTCCATGTTTTCAGCTCTGCTCTCAATCACTCCATGATTCTGGAAACTGAGGTGTGGGTTCTCGGTTGCGGCTGAGGTGCTGCTCCAGTCTTTGGTGACTTCCAAATGCATCCCGTGCTGCAAGGCCCCATGCATGCTCTCGGAAGACTCTGGCGGAAAGATCAAAGTATAGGAAAGCTCCGATTTCGCCTAAATACTTCAAAGGTCAAATAAACGAAAAGTGATGAAAAAGCACAGTTGAACATCCATCCGAGACCAAGGTCACGGCAGCAACAAACGTCTCAAAGATGCACCACACGCGTGTCCTTGGATGTTCATGTCTGGTTGGCGTTGATTTTTTTGGCAGGGGCCTGTGCAATTCATTGCTGAACAATGCGAAGTGTCAGGTAGGCTGGCTTGCTCCAGTCATCGAAGAGCACAAGGACATGGCCGATTGATCGCAGGCGAGACTGGAATGTGGTTTCCAAATCATCTGAGCCCTCCTGGGACTTCTCGTTGAGGATCCGCTCTTGATTATTGCAGAAAAAGCATATCCAAATGAACGTCCTTCAAAGGGATCAGGCAGACAACAAAACTGTTGAGCTTGAGCTGCTATGAAAGCGTCTTGGATTTGGTAACATTCGACAGCACACGTTCATCCTACTGTACTACTCTATCTTTGTCATATGCACGTGTCATAAAACGCCTCCTACACGCTATTTGGCAGAAACGATGGATCCAGATTTCGCCGCCAGCTCTCTAGTCAAATCCAAATCAAGCCTGGCTATTCTCACCTATGTGAACCACAGTGGATGAAGCGAAATGAAATGCTCAACTTTGCAATGGTGGGCTGGTTCCGATGGCAGAAAACCATTCCAACAAAGACAACGTTACGAAAACCTGCAAGTGCCAAGGAACTTGTCAGGATTGACTTGGTTGCCGCTGTCCTTCACACGTTCTGGCATGATTTGTACAACAGCAATGCACAAGCAGAGTGCCAAAGACTGCACATGTCAGCAACAAGAGTCCGATCCTGGCTCCAGTGCTGCAGGGCTGGAACAACAGTCTTCAAGTGGTAAGACCAGGCCCAAGAAAGAAAATGCGTGGCTGGGCCAGATGGCAAAACGTCCTCCGGCGGGTGAGCCACAATCTTACAAATATGCCATCAAGCGCTCCCTCAACCAAAGCAAAGCAAGGCCATCATTCAGTCGAGCATCCACAAGAGCAGAGCCTTGACGACCGTCTCGGGGACAGACGGTGTTTGATCCCAGCGCTGTAGGACCGTAGGCGATTGCAGGCGCAAGTTCGTGGAAGTTGGGGTTCTCCTGAGGGACAGGAGGGTTGGAATGCAGAGGGCTTTAGATGAATGATGAACAGCCTCCCTCCGGAAGGCAGTTGATCCAAGAGCTAAAGAAAATTAACTCCTGAGTTAATTGCCCGGG